TTCCTTTTCAAACATTTTACCCAATGAAATCAGTCTCATTTTAGTTCATTTGTGAAACCAAGGTCCAAGAAACATTTCATAAGCAATTGATAGTGGGTCAACATCAAAATTTCGAAATAAAGCATCTCACAAACAACTAAACCAGTCGACTATCAAGAAGAAAAGGTTTTCCAGATTTCCAGCTTTGGCACAGTTTATAAATTGAACCATATCTCACTCAATACAACTTGAAATTGAGAATGGTTGGTGGCGTTGGAAACTAGAATGAAAATGCTACATTTCATCAGAACAAGTCGCTTTCAAAATCAGTTCATAAGTGAGAGGAAATAGAGCCACAAAAATACAGCTCCTACCTTCTCTCGGATAGACCATCAGAACAGGACATCAAACTTTGCCGAATCACTACGGCTCACTCATTTCGAACTATAAAGTGAATTTTATACCGTTGGAAAGATACAAACATCTAGTTTCAAATGCCAGAAATGACAGTCGATTTTGACTTTTGTATAAAGAGTTATTTTCGATCAAAGTGGTACTGTTTAGATTGCCAGAACACATTTTCCAGTTTTCTTCGAATTTCGAAATTTCAAGTTTTGCTCAACCAATTCAAATGATTTTTGGTAGAAACTTTCTGCACACCATATACAACATATATACATCAGTTTCACAGTCATTTGAGTATCAAAAATTCAAAATATAGGCAAGGTAATAACAGGACAGATTCGACCAGCATCCATGCGCAATTTTCCTTTGGCCTTTCCTTCATTTCTCACCATAATCTTTTCATCTACACACATAACAATCATATTCAAGCAATTACACCTCAAGCCAGCTACCTAGAGGTCACCACAAGACCACTAGCCTAACATTTAAAGCAAGAAAATAGATTCCTCAAGTCCTCTACCTAGTTTCATGCTTAGGATTGCAAACCCTTGCAAATCCAACCATAAATCTTGTATTAAATGGAGAGATTAAATGAGTTGATGGTTACCTCCTTAGATCTTGAAGAAACCAGAAATTTTGACCGAAAATCTCCCAAGAAAACCCGCAAGAAGTTGTCCTCCTTCAAGCTAAAATTGCTCTCCAAGTGGTATGTGAGTTGTGTGAAGAATTTGAAGTGAAATGGTAGCAAGACTTGGAGTAAAAATGATGAAGCTTTCTTTCTTCTTCCTTTGAAGGTTTCGATCGAGCTTAAGAGAGAGAAGAGAGAGTGTGGTTTGTTGAGTGAAGCTTCCCTTGGAAGCTTAAGGGATTTGTAGCCAAAATTTGAGCAAAAGTCAACTAGGAATAGTGAGCGCGCGCGGTATCATACCACCGTTTTCTCTCTTGTTTGTGTCAGTTGTGCACTAAACCTCCAAATGTAATTCCTTTAACACTATAATTATTCACTCTTAGTAGTCTAAAATAAATTTCTTGAATCTCCATTTAACCGTTCCAACTCGAAATACGCGAACTTCCGATTCGCGCGCGATAAGGAGAAATTTAAAAGGAATTTGTGTAACGATAATATAATTGACTAATACCAGGGTAATTAACTTATAAAATGACTATTTTAAGAAATAAAACATAAGCCCTCAAATCTTCAAGATCATTGCACTCTCGGATCGAATATTGCCTCGAAAAACGTGTACTCATTATTCCATAATAAACGAGTCTCAAAAAAAATTAATTTGCTAACGGGGTGTTTTTTTTAAATATTAGTAAGGCATTATTCTATTTAAATGGATTTAAAATGGTTTAAATAAATTATTTGGAGAAAACGGGTAAATAAATATTTAAATAAGCCAGTAAAATAAGATAAAAATAAGAAAATTTTCGGGTCCTCACATATAGTATTGGTTTTAAATGGTTGATCAAAATAAAACCATTAAATTAAATGGATTTATATGGATTATCCACAAAAAACCACATATATCCATTTATATTAAATCCATGGTTAGCTCATGGACACCTCTCCCTTCTTGCAATTCTCCAAAAAACTGACCCAAAAAAATTTCCAAATATACTTCTGTTCTACAGCCATTAACCTCAGTTTTATCAAGAAAAATTTAGGTGAAAGCTCATCTGACAATTTAAGACTAGTAGAACTTCATTTGCCAGACGTTCATGAACTTCCTCCATGCTATCACACAACAACGAAACTTCAAACTAGAGGTGGCAATATGGATAAATGGTTCATAATTGATTTTGACCTAATGGATGGTGGATGAAATTTATCCAATCCATGTAGATCCATTTAATAAATGGATCTAAATGGATTAAATAAAAACCAATTATCCATTTATAATCCATTTAAATATTTTTGTTACTTTTTTTCTGTTACCTTTTCTTGTTACAAATTTAACATCATTTGCAAAAATGAAGATAGAAACTAAATTAACACCTCAGCAACAAGAGCAGTTGTCTGACTCTTCAAGGCCCACTCTTCAGAAGGATTTGCCATTTCAGACATCAAATCAACTGCCATTTTAGCAAAGTTCCTTTTTTCTGTAGGATTGAGTTCATCCCAACGTAATCGTACCAAATGCTTCAAGTAGGATAACATTAACAGTCAAATGCAGGTAATCCAACTTTGCAGAGTTTAGTCAAACCTGATACAACTGCAATGGTATTTCACAAAGAAACCTCCCAAAAGGTCATTTTTTAGCAGTATCTTGGAGAAAGTTTTTGTTCCTTTTTTTCGTACCGAATAATTATGAATAAGATATTGTTAGGGATCTAGTCCTTTCCTATTGTTCTTTTATATTTTTTAGACTTCTAAAAGCTCTTGTAAATAAACAAACACTTCTGAACTGGAAGCAAAAAGAATGATCCAAAATTAAAACCGTATTCCCTCGGTAGTCAGTTCATACATGCCTTTAAGTTAATCAATGTATAAACTTGAAACGAAGGTTTTCTTTATACCAGAACAACTTTGCTTGACCCCTGAAATAAGAGAAGCTACAATTTGGTTTTCACATTCTAAATATGTTAGATTACCTTATTTAAACAAAGATGACAAGACTTGCTTATAAATTGCAACAACTGAGATGCTGATGATGGCAAAAATAATCCAGAAGACTCTGTTATTAATTAACATCTGTCAAGGACAAATGCACAGAATGGAAATACTTTCATGCCATAAGCCAAGTGAGCCTGATAATACAACTATGATCCACCAAAAGACAAGCACTATTCGAGGTATCTTCCAGCCTCACTTGACAAAACAAATATCTCGAGTTCTTTTACAATATTATGCTGGCTCAAGTTGGCAGCCACTGAAAAAGTGGGCTAATTACTTAGAATGTAGGTAAGAAAAAAAAAAGTTTGACACATGCTGGGTATAAATCTATTGTTGTCGGGCTGACAAAGCCCGGCACCTAACACCAAATTTTTTTAAAAAAAAATATGTCCGGTGCTGGGCTGACACAGCCCGACACCTGACCCAATTTTTTTTTTTTAAAGCATGGCAGGTGCCGGGCTGACACAGACCGGCACCTGACACCAAATTTTTTTTAAAAAAAAGATGTCAGGTGCTTGGTTGACACAGCCCGTCACCTGACCGAATTTTTTTTTTTCTAAAACATGGCAAGTGCGCATCCAGTCAAAAGTTTTGCTTTGGGACTTATTAGGGACTTACCCGGAAGTGTGTCATCTGGGATTTGAGGCATCTGCGTTGGGACATATTACTTTGGGACATATACGTAATTGCTTTGGGACATATTACTACGAATTGTGTCATCTGGGATTTGAGGCATCTGCGTTGGGACATATTACTTTGGGACATATACGTAATTGCTTTGGGACATATTACTACGAATTGTGTCATCTGGGATTTGAGGCAGTTGTATTAATCCATCTAATTGTGATTGCTTGCTTCCTCTTGCACCAAACTTCCCAATGTTCCTTCGACCTCGTCGTGAACGTCCCATGGTACAGTAGGGTTTGGGACAGGAATCTCATGCGGCCATATGTAACTGTTTTGTTAACCGAAACCATGCAGCTATATACAACTCTTTTCCTTTTAAATGGATATTATTGGGTATATTTTGAATTAGGTCTAATTCCATATTTTACATACCCATTCCAACCAGATTAAACTTGGGTATGGGAGCCCATTGGATCTTAGAACTTTTTGCCAGTCTAATAACAATGCACAGCAGAAACTTTATTAATATTTCTTTCAAGTGTAAGTAGAGTTACACTCCATTCCCTGGATCACTCAATTTATTCCTTTCTTTAGAAACTTTATTAATATCTTAAACACCAATAAAGCTCAACAAAAAAATTCATACATATCCTCCACCAACGATTTAGACGTTTCAAGAAGAAACCTATAATTGATTGACCCTAATAAAACACCAATTATACATACTTGGTAAACAAGAAATTAGCTAATAAAACACCACTTACCAATAAGAAAACTATTAGAAATTTTGACTTAAATATAACCCTTGGAAATTAAATAAGAATCTGCTTTCTTTGTCCAATCAAAGTTGTGATACTTCATTTTGCTACCCTTAATGTCCGTCCTTTGCGTCTAATTTATCCAAATTACATCATCTCCAAACCCTTGATCCTAATTTTTAAACCACTCGTAATGAGTGGGGGAAGCAAAACTTTCAACAAAAAAAAATGGACTAGGGATAGGTATGGTTAGAAATTTCATATGATTATTGTACTTTCTATATTATAGTATGAGAATGGCTGGAAAGAAGAAATCAAATCATGCATGTAGATCTAACAATTAATCTAATTAAATATTAGTTAAGATATATTTCAGGTATCATATTTTTTAAAATATAAGATTAATTAGAAAAGGTAAATAAATACAAGAGAAAGTATGTAAGATTAAATAGAAAAAATATATAAATGCAAGAGAAAATAATAATTATTAGTATGTATATATATACATGGCAAATGTGTAACATTGAATTCATCCCTCTCCTGCAGTATCTTTCTTAGTATTTAAGTACACTCAAAACATTTTTGGGGAATCTACACATTGTTCGGCACATGCATTGCAAAAGTGGTCTTTCCTTAATATTTGGTCCAAATAATACATCAATTATAAAATACTTGGTAAACCAGAAATTAGCTAATAAAGCAACACTAACCAAATAAGAGAACAATCCCAAATTTGACTCCAATAAAACACCTAGAAATTAAATAGGAATCTGCTTTATTTATCCACTCAAAGTTGAGATACTGCGTTTAGCCACCACTAATGTTCTTCAATTACATCTCCCCCAATTCTTGATGCTGATTTTCAAACCATTGGGGAAAGCACAGGTAAGTGAACTCAGCGGCAGCTTCCACTTTCCAAGACATGCCATGTAATGGTTTGTAAAGATCAAAGGGTAATTAAACTATCTGGACGAGATGCCTTATATTCTTTGCAATTTTTTACCGCTAACTAATCAGAACATTTCTCCATTACTTCGCCAGATCCTAGTTTTTTTCTAATTAGCAAAAAAAAAAAAATTCCATAATAGTTGTCACAAGATCTGACTCAGGCAGGAATTCTGTAGCTCTGCCAGCTTTTTTAAAAAGCTCAAAAATTTGGGCCCGGCACCTGCCATGTTTTTTAAAAAAAATTCGGTCAGGTGACGGGCTATGTCAGCCCGGCACCTGACATCTTTTTTTTTTAAAAAAAATTTGGTGTCAGGTGCCGGGCTGTGTCAGCCCGGCAACAATAGATTTATACCCAGCATGTGTCTGACCAATAAGTGTCTGACTTTTTTTTTTCTACCTATATTCTAAGTAATTAGCCGAAAAAGTGCTCTTCCCAAAGTGGGACTTCTCACCATTAATTCTTCTCCTCCAAAACTAAGGCATGGCATCCTTGTAGCAGACCAGCCCAAGTATAACCACACAATGTGCCCCGAAGAAAAAATCATTTTGGTATATTCTAGCCTCGCTACCATCAGTTACTTCATCCCTCCTGCTTCCAGTTTCTCCATCTTGAGATGTAGTTGCCTCCTTGCCTTTTCCCCAGATCACAAGGCAAAGGCCTATTGTGATGATAATGGATCCTATCAAGCTGTTATACAAGATTATCGAATTCAAGTCGGATATGATAGTTTGATTAAAACATAAAAATGTTTCAATGGAAACATAGATGTGCTATAGATCATAACCTTCCCAAACACAGCTCCTCTTTTAGAAAGAGGGATCCAGCAAGGGCAGTGAATACTAGTCCCAAATGAGTGAAAGAAGACACGAACAAAGGGCCTTTCATCATTGAGCTCCAGAAAACTGTAGCCACACATAGCCCACAACTGACAATTCCCTGCCAGAAAAATTGTACAATGAAGATTTCAGAAAGATTTCTGGCAACAAACAGTAAGACAAATTGACATTCGAAAGCCATTACTTGTTAAGGCAGCGATACCAAAGCCATTATTGAAATGTTAGGCTATTCAAGTATGTATTTTATGACAGTGACAATCCAGTGCCTCATGAAGAAGCTGCAAAACTAGAAACCATACCAAATAAGCAACAACTAGGAGTCTACAATCCCATCCAATCATCCATGAAGACAATTCCCTCTCAGTAAATATTGCAAGAACACCGGTCAGGATTGATCCACTGAAACACATCAATGCAGTGCTTGAATAGCATGGGTAACCAGCAAATGCTACCTTTTTTGATGAAATGACAACAAAGTTCCACGTGCATCTCATACAAATGAAGAAAGTCTCTTATGCTAAATACTTGTTATTTGTTAAATGCGAACAGAAAGAAAAATGCTTGTATTCTTCAACCCCACCATTGTATCCTTTGATCCAAAGGAGCCCCAAAGCTTGTATTCTTCAACTCTCTCCACTTGCAAGATTCAAAATGCTTGAGCATATTAGATGTTCCAGAATTACCTTTTAATAAATATGTTTGTGCACACCATTTACACTTTACTTTTTTCCTTCCATCAGCAGTCATTGCTATAGTATCAAAACCATCCCAAGCAATTGATGTTTGCTTCCTAATTCGCTTGGCTGAACTTTCTCCGGTAGCCTCTCCACTTTCAGGTATAGAATCTATTGATGAAACTCGCTCAACATTGTGCTCTTCTTCTCCTTCCATTTGAACAAGTACCTAATATTCATTGCAGCAAAGAATAGAAAAAAAATTCAGATTTCATTAAGTGCAAAATGACAGCAAAAAAGTACTAGAGGCTCTGTTTGAAATTTAAGTAGGGACTCCTGGTGAAAAGTTTATACTCATAGTCAAAACACTCCACAGAATTGGCTGATGCTACCTATCTCTACAGTTTCAGTTACATAGAGTGACATCAAAATAGCAATATGGCATACTAATTTATTTCGTATGAGAGCCTAAACTATCTATGCTTGCAGAAATGGAGACTCCAGGCAGAGGCAAACGATGAGGCTAAAAGACTTCTTAGTGCTGAACCCACATCTACAGAACAGGTTCCAGACAGAAAATGGCCAACATTTTCTAGCCAGGTACTCTTATTATTATATGGTTACACATCCACTTCCCCATACTTGGCATGCAATAGACTGCTTTAGATGGAATTTGGTATCAGGTCCATTCCTGTTTACGATGGCTGACGCATTACAAACATTCTGCCATTGCACCGAGTTGAGCATGGTCATGTGGAATGTAAGTGATGGCATCACAAACCAATTGTTTACACTCGCTAAAGGCTGCGGGCTTCATTGCCCAATGCAGACTAATTCTAAGGAATTGCAAAGCAGTTGTATCCTCTTTAAATTCAAATAGCATTCTTTTCGGTTCCTGTGGACAAGTCCAAATTTGAAATTTTGAATGGACCAGCATGGAATACTTGATTTTATGCAAGACAAATATTGGATTGAACGTTCTCAGGGGAATTTCATCAAGCACTTCATAAACATGATAAGTATAGTGCTAGTAACAACGCCTTCATGAATAGCTAAACAAATTAGTCTTGTTTAATGAATCCCGACCCCAAATAGATTAATGATCACTGATTCATGTAAATTATTCTTATGATGCTGGACCTGTGCTTTTTTACCTGCTGATTTGAGGTACAACTTTTTTGTATGACGTCGTCAGTGAGAAGTTGCGTGAAGAATGCCACCGAGATTGAGCTTAAGTGTCTTCTGCTTCCAAATAGGGGTTTCCGCTACAGGCCTTGGTATTGGATCAATAATTAATCAGTTCTCGAGGGTTGACATGAGATGGGGTGGTAGTTTGAAGTTTCGTTGTTGTGTGATAGCATGAAGGAAGTTCAGGAACGTCTGGCAAATGAAGTTCTACTAGTCTTAAATTGTCAGATGAGCTTTCACCAAAATTTTTCTTGATAAAACTGAGGTTAATGGCCGTAGAACAGAAGTATATTTGGAAATTCTTTTGGGTCAGTTTTTTGGAGAGTTGCAAGAAGGGAGAGGTGTCCATGAGCTAACCGTGGATTTAATATAAATGGATATTTGTGATTTTTGTGATAATTCATATAAATCTATTTAATTTAATGATTTTATTTTAATCAACCATTTAAAATCAATAGTATAAATGGATAATCTAAATCCATTTAATTATAGATTATATGGATGGATAAATGAATTTCAATCCAAATTGCCACCTCTAGTTGTTGTGAGGGTGGGTAATTGTCCCATCCCCCTCCCCTTCCCTTCCCTCAACTTTCAAAATTAGAAATTAGGCTTGCAAGTTTTTTTTTCTCTTTTTATAGGTTTTCATTTAATCACATTTGCACCCCTTAATTTTTGTGAAATTTCCTTTTAACTCACATATTGCCCCTCTAAAAATATGAACATTTTGCGCTATCCCATTTGAAAAGTAAAAATTAACACTTGAATAGAGAAGAGTTTGAAGAAAATTGAAACTAAGCACAACATGACAACAATAAATATAACAGTTGTCTAATTCTTTTTTTTTTTTGTATAAGAATAATTAAAACTTAAGATATATGTTGTTAGCCTAAATGATTATTGTACCTCTAATTAAAACTGCTTGTTGCAAAGATTTTTAGGAGGATCCAAAGTGGCGTCCATAATGTACTTTACAAATTTATCCAGATTGGGTTAATTACACCTAGTTTGACATGATACAAAACCATGTGTGGTTCATATATTAATATGATGCAAAACGATCTATAGGTCATAGTTAGACATGACACAAGGTAACAAAACCATCTATAGTACAGCCAGTTTTCGTTCCAAATAAAAAAATTCATTTTATTGTTACAAGAACTTGACTGCACAAGAGTTTTTAGAGCATCCAGAAATTTGTAGTCCCATTAGTCTAATTCTCTGTAATGCTGATGATGAACATCTGCTAATCTGTCGAACACATACACTTACCCGGGCAAAAGCTACTTTCCCTGCTTGTAGAGCCCCAGCTTCAGGATAAATTTGGTAAACTCAGAATTGGGATCGGCACAAATGATGGTCCGGTTGAGTACATTCTATTTTTCACAAGATATGTACACTAACTCAACAATATTGTTCAGTTATAATAGTTGGTGGCCATAAGCAAAATATTTCACCTATTAGTGTAATTGTACATCACATCATCATATAACAAATACATCACCAACACAAAATCCCATCATTAACAATTGTGCCCGCCCCAAGTCTAGCAAACTCAAACTTAGCGATGTCAAAGTTGGAAAACATATCTGTGATCATAAATGCCTGAACAATCATTTAACAGTGAAGACATCAATGGCAATCCACCATTAAAGAAATTGAAAAACAAAGATTGCAATCAAGATTTAAAAAAACACATATACCAGACATACGAAAACAACAATTAAGTCTAAAACTCCCTGCATAATTGCATGAATTGAATATGATTACCCAATGATGAACATGGAACTTGCTTCTTGCTATCTGAATTTTCCTATTGCCACTCGATTATTCAAGTTCACTTTGAACTCAAGTTGTACAGCATGATGATCAGATTTAAGTACGGAACAGGCTTGCTTTAAACTTGTATCAACTAGGGTGCAAAATCATTAGAAGTTCAATGGGATAGCAACATGTGAATCAACCTCTGATTTGCGAAAGCTAATAAAGTAAATCAGGTTATAGCAAACCATCAATACTTTCTTCCCTGTGCTTTGCAGTAAGTACCGTCCAACAAAGTAAAGCTGGAGATCTAAGAACCAAAAGTCCAAGTCACACCAGAATGGAAAGAATGGAAATAAAATTATGGAAAGCAATGCAGAAATAATATGCCAATTATCGGATGAAACTAGCTCCATCATTCATATAAATTCAGCTCGTTATAGGACAAAAGAGTAACACTGATAAGTACATGAAGTATGTAGACAAACCATAGGTGAAAACTATATATACTCTAAGGAACAAGCCAACTACCACCACTTCTAATGACTTAAAACAATAGTTAAAAAAAGGGGGCTCATTTCACAGTGCTCTTTACTTTCACATCTGGAACCTTTCCAAGTAGATTACCAAACAATATTGCAGTGTTTCTAATTAAGATTAATAACCGAAGTCTTGACATAGTGAGGAAGAAGCTTCAAGTGTACCATGTTGTTATATCCTCCTTTGGGAACAAATCCATTGAATAATCAACTGATTCCATATTAAATTCAGGACCGAAGCTGAAGTCCAAGTTGCTGTTTAGGTTGCCATTGAATCCTGAATCATCCGTTGACTTGCAGTTACCATTGTCATAAAGAAATTCAGTTGATGGAAATGCAGAGTGGCTCAGAGTAAGAGATGTTTCTTTCGATATACTGCCTCCCATTGTAACTCCTGGCCTGAAGAAGCTTTGGTCTCCATGGAGCTGTATAATCTGTTGTTGAAGGTTTTGATCTCCGGCAGCAGTGTCAATTCCAAAATCAAAACAAGTCTTTTCTTGTACACTGCCATCATACATAGACATGAGGCCAGAAATCATCTTTTGACCATCTTCTGGAATTCCAAGTTCAGAAATACTCAAACAAGAGGGATGCTCAATCACGGGCTGAGAAGCCGGCTTAAGTTGAACGGATGGTGCAGAGATGACCTCTGGCTTCTTCTTATATGGCTGATAGTTCATTATGCCAAGATTTTGAGAAGCACTCAATCTGTATGGACAGTTAATCTGGTGATTGTTCCTCAATGTTCTGTCATGAAATCCCATATTGTAACCACTATAAGGGCACTGAGGATTCTGACAGGTATAGATTTTTTGGTCTAAGTCTCCCTCATTTGACATAATTTTCCTCTTGTGGATGAGTTCTGGGTCAATATCAACAACTTCTCCTTTAACTGGAGCCAATGACGGAAGCATCTTCCCATCTTTGGATACATCAATGCCCATTTTCAAGAGATTTTGGGGCTCACAGTTTGCATCAAGACTTCCCTCACCATTCACCCCATCAACATCATAGTCATTAGATTCCACTGAAGAATACAACCCATTTCCAGCCTCAGAGAACATACGTGGATAGATATCAGGATAAAGCTTCTGAGCCAAAACTTCCTCATGATTTATGATGGCAAGCCAAGTAGCACTCTCCTTGGCAGTCATCTTATCCTGCAAACATTTAGATTGTCTAACAAGCTTCTGAATCTTAGAAATGTCAGGTGACATGTGTTTAATAACCGCTGTCAGAACCCCCACCTTCCAAGCCTTCTTCAAGTCATGAGGCTTTTTGTATGGAGGACAAACTTGATCCTTTGGTAGGCCCAAATCAGGCCACCAGTCCTCAATCCCACTAGGCCACCAAGGTGGGGGTATACCCTTCTCTAAAGGGAACCGCCTTTGGGGTGGATCACAGTGCTGCATCAGAGCCGACAAGAGTGACCCCAGAGTAGTATCCTGAAGCTCCTGTAGTGCATGAGGAGTTGATGTTATGTCACAGCAATCTTCAACCTTTCCGGGGATAGAATGTGCTACCCGATACTTGGCAATTGCAGCAGGAGCATTCCTATCAAACCGAACCTTCTCCTTCCACCAGGCACGAAGGTTATCAGAGGCACCAGTAACAGGTTTACCATTTTCAGGGATAATTCCGTACACAAAACCTTGAGCTTTACAAACCTCCATCATTTTGAGCATGTACTTCAATATGCCATCTTGTGCACGTGACATCTTCTTCCTGCGTGCTTGCTCCTGCGATTGGTGCTGCTTCATGCCATCATCTACTCCCTCCTTAATCTTCTTCTGCCCTTTAAGCTTCCTGAGTAGCATTTTATCTCTCCACATCCTCCTCTCCAGCTCATCAACGTCCATCTCCTCATCACTATAATTGTCATCCACCACTCTGCCAGGTTCAACTTCGGGAGGCACATCTCCTTCTCCACAAGGAGTTGAGAGGAAATCAAGATTGCCAAAGATTCCCATTTCATCAAACATTCCCGTTACGCAGAAAAGGCCTACTTCTATTTCGAAAGATCAATTTCACTTAATAGTCTCTCTGGCAAAAACAGAAAAGTTCACTTAGTAGATCAAGGCGAACGAAGAAACCAAGCCAATCAGGCAAAAACAGATCAAATATGACTCAACAGAATCCACTTCCACAGAAATAATTGCAAAATACATCATTCAGAGGCAGTGTAAAAATTTATACACAAAATACAAGTACATAAAACAATTCTCTTGAATACAAAACAACCGTAAATTAATCTGAAAAAACAGTCAGTAAACGTGTTTATGGACGGAAATAATCAGGATAGAGACCATAACTCAGTACCGAACTCTGATCTCTATTTAAATTATAAAGTTTTGTATGCCCGGTTCACTTCTTTCAACAAGTTGGTTCCATCTCTAATCCTTAAATTATCCAAAATCTTAGTCTAAAGTCAAAATCTAAGTAACAAGATAATCCACCAATTCAATAAGCCGAAGCATAAATTAATAAGACGCACAGAAATATCAAGCACCAGAACACTTAAATCATATAAAAATCTTAACCAAAATCAATACAAATAGATGCTTCAAAAGGGTCTTCAGAAATTTCAAGAAATCAACATGTGGCTACAAATAAAAAGGATAAGGAAAAGAAAAAAGCTACAAAATCAAAATAGTTCATAAGTGAACTTACAGCTCTTTCCTCTAAGCTATAATTCTTGCTACCCAAAAGTCTGGAGAGCTATTCTTTTATGCTCTGCTCAATTTTTTTGGAGAACACCAAACAAAACAAAACAAAAAAAAAAAAAGAGCAGAGGGAGACTTGAGGAGGTGTTGTGCTGTGAGAGAAGACAAAAGCAAAGCTTATCCAAAGTGCCTGTGCAGTTTCCAGTTTTATATAGTAGGTGTGAAGTTGATGTAAGATATTTGGTGGGAGCTGTCAAGTTAGAAAGTCAATCTTGTCCTTATTCAAAACACATTTACTGGACTATATTTTGGTAAATTGTGGCCTTTTTTTTATTGTATTTTTTTTGATTTTTTTGTAAAAAAAATTAA